AGCTGGGGAAGCTGACTCCCTGGTTTACCTAAAGGTTTTTGCTGTCTCCTTTAGTTAGACAAATGGAGCAAGGGGCTTGCAGTGTGGTTTGGGAAGTCTCCACAAGAGTGTGCTGCTGGCCTGAATTTCCCCAGCACTTCAGTTGCTTTGTGCATTGAGAATTAGGAAAACATCGGTGCCGCGGAAGGAAGAATCTTTTTCACCTGGGAAGGGCATTTGTGGCAATACATTTCCCAGTTAAGAAAATTCAATCAGTGCAACCTGAAGTTAAACCCCATGCACTAAAGACTTGCTACTTCCCAGTCCCCATAAGAATGGGAATAATGCATCCAGTAGAGAAATAAATATCATTTGGCACAAATATTTTCTTTCCAAAGTACTGCACAGTCCACCTGTACAGTCAATATCACTGAAAGGCAGCTGTTGGCAGGAGCAAATTGTCACACCGCAAGCTGTGGAAGGACATTTTGGCTCAGAATAATAGGATAAATCCATGCTCTCCGGAAAAGCATCCGGATATCTTTAACATTCATGCACATCTGACCTGGGGCTTGGGTTTAAGGTCCTGTGTGAAAGGCCATGCTCTGTAAACCAAGCATTATCCCAGGAGGTTTATCCTAAGGAGGAATAGATGTTGGTGGGTGGAGAGAAAGAAGCACAAGCAATGATGAGTGTGGATAGGTCATTCACAGAGGCCACGGAAGAAGGGCTACTGATTTCTGGCAACAGTATCTGCACTAGAATTCAGAACGGACCGTGGGAAAGCAAATCCCTCTTATGCTGGAAAGATGGTCTTAATCTAATGCAGATGTAATTCACCCAGTTCTTTCACCCTGCCCTGTTTTACCCAACATCGACAATCCTGTTCTTTTAAAGAATGCTTTGTATTAGGGTCACGAGTGGATCATATAAACTATTAAGCACATTACATAGCAAAGGTTAGGTTGCAATAGGTTAAACTAATCCAATCCCACTCTGAAATGGGAGTAGGTTAAAACCATTAGGGGCCTTTTAGTGCGGCAGAGTCCACACCGGGTGGGGTAGATTTACAGCTAGCTTACCAAGAACTAAATGTTCATGTAGACAAGTTCAAGAATGTTCTTAAACGGCTTACGCAGCCAAGCTTTCCAAAGTGCCCATTGCTCTCACATGCTGCCCCTTGGGTAGGGAGTTGAGAGCCCAGCTTGCATCTTGACTTTCAGCAGTGCTACGCATCACAACTCCAGTTGAAATCAATAGGAACTGCCGGTGCTCAGCATCTCGTAAGATCAGCACCTCAAGTTTGGGCCCTGGGAAACTGAGGTACCAAAAATCACTGGCTACTTGTGACAATGTTGGCCATGGACTTCATTAAGGGTGAAACCAACTAGAAATCATTCTAACTGCCTGAATAAGGAAAAGGGATTCTATCCACGCTCTTCTTCATAGAATCGTATGTTTTTAAAGTCAGAGGGAACTATTGTGACCATCTAGTCTGAGTATTTTTGTAATTATCCTGTAGAATTCTATAGCCGGGATATAATTCTTCATTTAATGGTATAGAATGACTATGAAACACTATAGAAAAGTTATCATTTGCTGGTAGAAAATGGAGTTTTTCCATAAGGGATAAGATGAAGGAATGGAAGCAAGACAATACTGAACTATGAAAGCGGAGTAAGGAAAAAATTTCAGTAGAAAGGGGCTTTTTACCTTCAGTCTAAATAGCAGGACATCCCAGTACCTGAGGATTTGTCACATGTCTCATATTAAGCAAGTCATTTATTTCCATGGCTGGATCTAACTAAATACTGCATTTTTCTTCAGTCAGTGGGAATAGTAGTTGAAGCTGGGTCCTTACTCCTATATTCCAGTCAGAGCAATTCGCTGTCATTCAGTTGACCAAAAATGTCTCCCAAGTGGATCAGAGGAGCCAGTGGGGGGTCTCCTACCAAAGGCCAGGAGTGCTTGTCTTTTCTGATCTCCCAAGCTGCATCCAAACTCCGAGATTGAGCTTTCCGGTCAGTGCGGAATTTCCAATCCCTTTCATGTACGTTCATTTCATCCCTTGCAGAATAAGCATCAAAAGTCTCCTGATGGACCATAAGGAGGTGCTCTGCATCTGTGCCGCAGCCCAGAAAGGTGGAGAGGAGGGAGCTAGCTAGTCAGATGCACCTGAGATACAGGCTAGGGTCACAGAAGTAGGTCTGTCACCCAGGCCAGGCCATCTGTCCAGCTAGAAGCACGTGGTGTTAACACTCAAGTTAGACTGTGTTCTGGTGCTGTGTTCAGCCCCAGAGGTGGCTACATGCTTATGGACCAAAGGATCAAGGAAGAGAGCATCAGAACTGAGCCCACCCCCTAGGAGCTGATGGCTGGGTGTCCAGCAGCAGGGAGATCCCGACAAGAATTCTTGGTATCAAGTAGGGGAAGGCTGCATGTGTAATTCATTGGTCAGCATGTGCGGTGTCCCCCTCTGTGCCCAATCCACATAGGATACAAGTCGGGAGCAGCTCCCAGCAGCAGAGACTGATGCTTTTAGTTCGGGAGGTTCCTGGTGTCGGCCGAGATGTGGGGGTGAGTCACACATGTTGTATTGGCGTCACTGATAGCAATGGGGCAGCCTGATCTTGCCCTCTCTGATGTGGGCTAATGGGAGCAGGAAGGGCCCCTCCCCTTTGAAATCAGCCCATGAGTACCTAAATATGGATCTGAGCCTCCCTTCCGCCCCGCAGCTTTGAAAATGTTCACAGACTCTCCTTAGAATTGTTCCATCCTCCCCAACCCCGACTTCCTCTCTGCTTTTCACCCTCCATCTCTCTGCCCGGTTTTTCTCTCTGTCTCTTCGTTCACGTGCTTGGTTGTGTGTGTGTCCCCCCCGCCCCCTCCCCTGGGGATTCCCGCACCGTCCCATTCTTTTCCCGGTCTCTCCCGGCCGCAGAATCTGACTCAGGCTCTCAAACCCCGGGGGGGGTTGGCTGTTGGGCAAAACAATCCCGCCTATCCCCAGAAGAAACCAGTATTTCCAGGGAGCAGGAAGTGCGGCATGTGGGAAAGCTGAGTGCTCCAGAATGTGGGCTAGGGAGAGAGAAATGGATGTGTGATAGCTTGCACCTGGCAGCTCCTGAGAGCTCGTAAACACTTTTCAGGATGGATTCCCGGCACAGAGGCCTGGGCAGATCTGAGCACAGACATTCAGCTACAAAGAGTGAGAGCACTTAGATCAGAAGACCTGGGTTAGGGAGTGATGCGGGCGGGGGCGGAGAGGAAAGGAGACCGCAGACAATTCTGGGAGCAAATATACACTCTGAGGGCTCTCTGCACTCCAGAGCGAGATCGCCACATGGCACTTGACGTCAGCCTAACTCGGTAAGGGTCCACGCTAAAATGTCGCTCCCGCCGATGTCACTCGCCCACTACACCGACTTAATAACGCCACCTCCGCGAGAGGTGTGGTACTTAGGTCAACGTGGTTAGGTCGACGCAGCGTCCGTGTAGACACGGGTTGCTTACATCAACCGTTGCTGCCTTTTAGAAACTGTCCCGCAATGCCCCGCCTTGGCAGTTAAATCGGTGCGAGCGCTCCTGGTGACGAGACACACCGCCGACACAAGGAGCGTAGTGTGGATGTGTAAAACCGATTCAATGATGGCGGTGGCTGTGCGTTGACATAATTTAGGTCGACTTAATTTTGTAGCGTAGGCTTGCCCGGAAGTGGAGTTCAGGGTGGCTTCATGGCGGGACTCCCAGCTCCCTGAAATTCCAGATTAGAGAACTGGGCAGGTGACCCTCTAAGCCTGCTGTGGGCCTTTAACATACACGGAGGGGAGTGCGTGAACTCTCAATGAGTGTTGTGGGCCCATCCAGGTTGCCGAGTGATTGAGTTCTGTGTGGGCTGGCACCCATCGGGGTCCTGATTCTGCTTTCTGCTATCCGACTGACATGTGGAGTGACTCCACTTGAGTCAATGGTGTCACATCAGCCGGGATCTGGTGTCGGCGAGAGAAGGATCTGGGCCTTGCGAGGTCACCCAACAAATGTGGTTCTATCTTTCCACTCTCCTGGTGTAAGTACCTCAGTGGATGGGGGGTAGGAAGAAGGGTATCGGCCTCATAGAGAGGCAGCATAGCCTAGTGGACCGAGCACAGGTCTGACAGACAGGAGTTCCTGAGATCAGGCCTCTGCCTCAGCTATTTGGGAAAGTCACCTTGTCTCTTTGTCCCCCTTTCCCCATTGTACAGATGCGTATCATGCCGGTTCATGAGTTGTTTACCCTGGTTCTGCAGGGTTAATTTAATTACCCTGGCCCGGCACCCGGGCAGATCCCACGCCCACACAGATCCCCGTGGGGCGCAGGAGTGCACATCCTTGAATCCGATGGTGGGAGTGGGGACCAGTGTCTGTTCAGGGCTTAGAAGATCAAAAGCCTTATCTAAGGACTGAGCAGCAGTGTAGGTAGAATCCTGGCTCTCGGTCCTTTGATGGCTTCCATCCAGCAAGCCAAGGCAGGTGTCTTGGCCTTTCTTGTCTGCACTGAGGTATGAGGGAGCCCACCTCATTTCCTACAGGGATCTAGGGCTCCCTGATGGCCGAGTCTCAGCAAAGCCCCTTCTTTTGCAGGCTTGGCAGGGGGAGGGGAGGCAGGTGCTCCGAGGTATGTACACGGCGCTGAGCATATGGAGACGGCTGCCTCCTTCTCCCGAGCACCCCACCCCCTGTTTAGTGCTGCAGGGACTCAACAGTTCCAGAGTTACTAATATGCAAATCCTGGCGTTTTGCATGGGCTGCGTGCCAGGCTCTCAGAACATCAGCATGCTGCCAAGCAGGGGGGTGGGGGGCGTGGCCACAAGTGCACAGCATGCTCACCTGGCCCAGTGTGTCGCCGGGCAATGCAGGTGTAGGTGCTTTGGAGCTGACTTGAGCCCGGCTTCAGAGGTGGGGGCAAACTGGCAGCCTCACAGGCCAGTGTGGGGCTGGCTGCAGGAGGCTGGGCGCACTGTGGATTCTGTCCCACCAGCAGGATGGTGAATCTGGAGTCTGTGCACACAGGTAAGAGGGAGGGAGGACGGTCTCTGGCGTAACCCAGCAGGCTGCAGAGGTTTTGGAGTCAAGTTGGGGGAGCGGGACCTGGGACACGATTCCATTGAATCAGGTCCCCTGCCATGTTGAGGCAGGTGGTGACACTGAGGATGGGCATGCCATGAGTTAGCAGCTCCTAGGGGATATAGGGGAGGGGGCCGTTGAAGGATGGTGGGGGGTCAGGTTTGGTTGCTGAGAGTTGAAGAGAGAAAAGGGGGCAGAGAAGACAGAAGGAATGAGGGGGACTGGGGAAGAGGGGGGCGTTTGGGTGGATGGGGCTGGGGGAAATTATGACAGGGGTCATTGAGGGGGAAAGGAACTAGCAGGGAATGTCAGGCAAAAGCCTGACTGGCTGAGGTGGGCGTGCTGGGGCTCACGTGCGTGTCTCCACTGCAGAGCTCCTCTCCAGAGAGGATGGCTGCTCTGAGGGGTTGTCTACTCTTGAAACGCTACAGCGGTGCTGCCCTCGCACCTCAGTGTGTAGACAGCTGCTACGGAGACAGGAGGGGTTTTTCCATTGCCATGGCTAACACTGTCTGCGCCGGGGGTTGGGTCACTCAGGAGCGTGTGTTTTTCAGCCATAGCTGGCTCGGCTTAACTTCTCCGTTTAGACCTGGGAAATAACCCTCAAGCCGCACAGCGTGGCTGTTAGCAGCTGAGGCATTGTGCTCACCTGAGCTGCAGCCTGTCCCCCCACCGACAGGCCATCCAGCTCGCATTAGAAGCGCCGCTGTACTCGAGTTTAGGGGTTTTGTGTGTGGACAGGACTCGAGTTAGGGGCAAAGCTCAAATTAACTCTACAGTGAAGACAAGCCCTGACAACCCCCCAGAGACCGGGCAGGACGTATGTATGTTGGAGTCCACGCAGGCATATGTCCGTGTCTACGTGTGTGCTGGCGTATATAATCTGGGGGTGCATTTCTTTGCTGGTGTGGAGAGCTGCGTGCATCGGGGCTTAGGCTAGTGTCTGCATGCAAGCGCAGGCATCTTTGGGTCAGTCCATTGTGCAGCTATCGGCATGGGGGACTCTGGTGTGTGTATCTCTGTGGGTGTCAACACGGCCCCCCCGTCACAGGAGATTGCCAAGCCAACTGTTGTGCACTGTGACACGGCTGTGAGAGTATCTGGGTTGGGGATGTCGTCTTAAACGCAGGGGTTTATGAGAGCAGGAGAGAAACAGAGTTCAGTGAACCAGCTCAGCCCAGGGGGGACAGATTCTGTCGTGGTAGAAGTGGGAGCAGCTCCATCGAAGTCCATGCTGTTGTTCCCAGGCTGGATTGGGCCTGATATGTTTGATCGGGGCAGGCTTCTCCCCCTCCAAACCCTCTCATGCTCTTGGGGTCCGGCTGAGCACCCTGCCCAGTCATAGGGGCCAAATGTTTACAGGTGGCCATGGATTTTTGGGCTCCCAACTTGGGCCTGATTTTCAAAAGAGCTGAGCACTTAGCGTCTTCCCAGACTGGTGTCAGTGGGCGCAGACGTGCTCAGCAGCGCCTTGAAAATCAGGCCCAAAGTGTTTAACATGCACCCAAAAGGGAAGGCCCTCAAAAATCAGTGGCCCATCTACACTCTCTCTCTCTCTCACACACACACTCAAACTCACACTCTCACACTCACACTCACACTCACACACACACACACACACACACACGCCTTCTCTGTGCTACGATTAGATACAATTTTTCTTTACATTGTGAACGTCCCACGTGCCCTGTGCCAGAACTGTAATGAAATGCTGCACGCGCCAGTCAGGATCCCCAGCCTTCAGAGTGTGGCAGGAGATCCCCCTGCTCATTTTTCTCATCGCAGAGAGCAGGGAGGATTTGGTTGCAGTCAGTAGAAGATGGATTCTTTATTGAGGTGGCTGGATGCAGACCTGACCCTGTGGTTCTCTCGGGCTGCCAGACGAACTAACTGAAGTCTGAGTGGCGTAGCGTTACCTCACAGTCCTGGGAGCGGAAGGGACTGCTGACTCCATCATATCACTCTCCGCTTTTGACTCAGGAATGCTGTGGTGTCATGGATGCTGCTGGTTGCTCAGACGGCCCCGCTTGATCAAAAGCCTTAATGGAGGAAGTTAAAAGCAAATTAAGGGTCTGCCCCAAAGCCCATTTAAGTCCCTAGAAAGACTCCCATTCATTTCAGTGGGCTTTGAACCAGTGTCTGACATTTCACCTACCAAGAACTCAGTTTGAGGTTCTTTGCTTCTCCAGAGCAATTGATGAAGATTCAGGAACCTGAAATAAAGCAGGGGCCTCTGTTGTCCTTATACACTGCACTGGTCCTTGAGCTATTCGGATGTTGCAATAAAAACACCCAAATCCAGTCTCGTGTGTCGGCAAGTAAGTGAGCAAGGAACTGATTTTTTCCAAATAACAAGAGATTTGACATTCAGGCTAAATATACTGGGCCAGAGCCTCAGCTGGTGTAAATCAGCGTAACTTATTGACTTCACTGATTTATACCTGCTGAGGTTCTGACCCCCAATCTGTGGGTGAGCTAAAGATCTTTAAAAAGTATCATTTTGATTTTAAAAACAATCCCCAGCCAGTCTCATTTAAGCCAAATAGGTTTTAGTAGGAGTTTTGTTTTGTTTTTTTTAAATCTATGATCTATAGAAATGTCTCGATGGCTTGTTAAATTCCAATGAAAACTGTTTGGTTTTGTCTGGGTGGAAATCTTCCCTGGAATGGTTTGCAGCACAAACTCTGCAGAAATGTAGGGCAGGAAAGACAGCTGGTGAAGTGGCTACATACAGAAGTGAAACTCACTAATAGAGCCGGGCAAGAAACTGCTTTCCCACCTGTCAGCAATTTTTCCGATTTTGAAAAATTTGCCCATCCAGAATTAGGACAAAAAAGCTGAAAATCTCAAAAATATCCCGATGTTGAGAAATGTTTTGGTTTCAGTTAACTGAAAGGTGGATTTCAAAACGCTTTGGTTTGATTTCAACCATTTAAAAAATAATGAAAACGATTAGCTTAAATTTCAAAATGCAAGGAACCATAAACCGGGCCTTTCTTCATTTAGAATGCTTGGACAACTTCAAAACTCTTTGCAAAAAAAAAAAAAAAAAATTAATTGAAAAATTCATCAGACATGAGCCTTGCCACCAAAACATTTTGTCAGAAAATTCCCAACCAGCTCTACTGATGAGGCTAGTTTCATTGTCCAAATGGAGGTTTGGACCAAATTCCCTGCTGGCGTAACTGCCCTGAAATCAGTAGACTTCCAGCAACTGAGAAATGTCTTTACCATTTATGATAGGAAGTATGTTCGATGATTTTAATTTTTTTGTGTGTGTCATCCACAGCCAATGTTTTCTATTGGGGCGGGGGGCAGGATATGTACTAAAGGCAGCTTCTAAATCCATATATAGGCACCTCACTAAATAAGGTTGGGCCGATTCTCAGTGGTACTGAACCTATGCAAATCCCATTGATTTTAGAGCAAGTTGTGGGTGCTCAGCACCTGTCATGCTCCCCAGAGTTGTAAGGCCCCTCACCACTACCTGCCTCTAACATGAAGCAGTCTTATCTTTGCCCCTTGTAGCTCAGCTCCCTGAAACCAGCAGCCTCTGGCCACACAAGCACTGCCTTCCAGGTCCTCGCAGGCCACCCCCTCTCTGTATAGGCTAATGATAGGAGCACCCCATCCCCTGAGTGCTCAGAGCGCTCCCTGCAGTGGCCAGCCCCTGTCACTGGCCACTCACCGAAATTACCAGGTAAGCTGTGCCTGAAGAAGCAGTGTACACGCAGCGTGACTGGCACAACTCAGGATCAGGTCCTTTATAATGTCTCAGCACTGGCATCTGTTTATAGTGAAACAATCATAAATTTATGACTAAACGTTAAGATTTAAGAGTTCTAGTGAGTAAGGATTATAAGTGGAAATAGAAATAGTTGCACAGGCAAATGGCAATCCAAGGTCTATGCTTATCAGTGGTTTCTTTTCCTATATAACAAAGTAGATTTTTCTCCCAAGGAGTCATTCTTTGGAAGAGCTGCTAGTTTTCAGTCAACCGGGATCCAAGCATTCATGAACATCCCAGGCCCGTCAAGAGGTTTCCCCAATGCCTGGATCCCAAAATGTGTTACTTGTCCTCCAGTACTAGTCCAGTGAACCTTTGAAGTGCACCCTCAGATAAGACACTTCTCCCCCTGGCTTGTTTGTTCCTGTTAGCTACACCTCTTGCTGGTCTTTATTAGCATGCAGTTCAAAGTGGACACAGTCATACCAGCAAAAAGGAGCGTTGGCCAGTATAGCTTATTTTATTTGTAGATCTGATATAAACTATACTGGCAAAAGCACTATGCATACAAGCTGCATCTCCACTAAGAGGATTTGCTGGGAGATCTATATCCATTTAGCTACACCAGCAAACCTTTTCTAGTGTAGAGTAGACCACAGTGACTGCATTTAACTCAGCACATCCCAGTAGCTGAGGGCTTTAAAACAGATCCACATCATCATTTTCCCCATTTATTTTTATTACCCTGCTTATTCTGTGTGAAATGTCCTACCTAGCAAAGCTGTAGTGGAAACACAAAGCCGTAGGAAGATTATGAATTTAAATTGGCTTCCAGTCTAGCAGCAGACTTTATCTGGAGGAATTGATTGCTGCAAGTTTATTGATGTGTCTATGTTTTATCATGTCACACGTTTATTGGGAGGGCTCTTAAGCTGTAAATAAATGTTTCCTTTTGCACAGAGCAGACTGGCATCTCATTAGCCATCTACACCTGGGTTTATTTCTCACCAGCTTTTGAGGAATCCTCCGAGGATGTCAGCTGCAGCATTTCCAAAAATCAGGAGCCAGTTTCCCCAACAATCATGAGATCGTCTTAAAAATCATAAGATTAAAAAAAATGTGGGTTTTGGGGGGGGGGGGTATTCGATTTTTGCTGTCTGAGCCTGTAGGAGGTGTGTCACATTTTCTGCTTCTCAACCACAAGGGCTAGAAATGTACTTTAATCTCCGAAAACTACCTGAGTCCAGGAGCTGGGGTTTTAACAGAAGCAGCAAATATCACAAAGCAGCACTGCAGCTGGAACCAACCATCCTAGCCCCCAAAATTACAAGAGGGCCTGAATCTTCTCTCCCGCTGGTGTGAATAAGGAGTAACTCTCCTAAACCCAATGGAGTTACATTGCTGCAAACAAAATCCAAATCCACATCCGAGATCAGTGGTTTTCAACCCGTGGTCCATGGATCCCTGGGGGTCCACAGACTATGTCTAAGAGTTCCAAAGGAGTCCGCATCTCCATTCAAAACTTTTTAGGGGTCCGCAAAAAGGTTGAAAACCACTGTCCTGGATGCTCAAGAAATACTAGGCATTTTTAGGGGGCTTTTAAACTGTTTTTTTAAACGGCATTTTTGTCCAAATGGAAATGTCCATGTTCGTTTTGGATTAATTTTTTGGGTGGTGGGGGGAGGTTGTTGCAAAACCCATTTTTTGCTTGCTTGTTTTCAGTTTTGTTTTGATGAAACCCCAAAAACTTTTGAATTTTTTTTTTTTTTGACAAAACAAAAATCTGTTTATTTTGTTTTTTGTCAATAAGTTTCATGGGAGTAAAAAAACACTTCTCAACCAGCTGTCACCTCAATCTCAGCCTGGGACTCTGGGTAGGATGGCAGTACAATTGATTATATTCTTATTCCCTAAAGACCCCAACCAAAATCCAGGCCCAAATGGAGTTTGGGTAAGAAAGAAACCCCTTCCGCCCACTTTTTAACTTTTATTCCAGTAGAAAACAGCTTAAAAAGTGAGTGTGTTACTTTTCTCCTCCACCAAAATGAAATCTAATTTTCCATTTTGAAACCTTTTGTTGGCCATGAAAAATGTTGAACACAATAAGAAAACTTAAATTTGGCCAAAAAAGGCATTTTCTATCGAAAAACTAAAAGCTTCATTGGAATATTGTCAAGCAGCGTTAGCATTAGTAACACAGGGGAGTGGATATGAAAACAGTATTGATTTCTTCTCTCTCTTTGCTGCATGAAAAGAGTTGTTGTTTTTTTTTTTTTTTAAAGTTTGCCTGATTCAGGCAATGTCTCTTTAAGGGGAAGGTTTCCACCTGCTTCTTTTATCCAGGCCAAACCATGGGTGCACACATGTAGCTTGCACATGGTGGTATTATTACCTCATGCAAATCAGCCTATCTCCTCAATGGGGATTGGCTGCTGGAAGCCTATGCAAATTAATCAGTTTGTTCTTTTTTTATTTGTCCAACTAGGTTGGAAAGAGTTAAAATTCTCCTGGAAGGGGGAAAGGGGGGAGTCCATGTGAATTTGACTATAGTATTCTTCCTTCTTCAACTGATTCTGTGCTTTGGCTCTTTAATAAGGAGACGACCTATATGGCAAGTTAGAGCAAAGTTGACTATTTCTCCCCTTCCCTTTCTTTCAGCTGTCCCTGAAGAAGGTTCTGACCCCAGGCGTGGTGGCAGCTGTCACTTTAAGGGTAAATGTTTGATTTATTGAGATAAAAAGGGCTCCGGCAGAAATGCTGGAGTTAGGTGGCAGATTGCTCCGATTGTCTTTGGGATGTCACTATGCCATGAAGTGGCACGCTCTGTGTTTTTGGAAGTTAAAGAACAAGCATGGGGCGGGAGAGGGTTGGAGGGGAGCCGTGATCAAGGTGGGAGTGGGACGGAGAGAGGCAAATTGAATCGGAGAGGTAACTGGCAGGAGAGAGAGAGACTCCCCTCTAAAGTATTCCCTCTCCTGCTCCATCTCATCATCACTGTGTGTGCCTCTTTAGGGACCATCTTCACTGTATGTTTTGTACAGCACCAGACACATTGTCATTGCTGAATGAACAATGGGAGAGGGGGAAAGAGGTCAGGAGAGTCAGTGATTGGGCCCCAAACTGAGGAGCAACAGTGGAGCCCTTTCTCCCTGGTTAGCTCAGTCAAGAAACCGGTGTAATAAACTCTGGGGAGAGGCCAATAAGGAAAGGGGAGCTCGCACCCCGATTGCCACTCTGATGCCAGAAATGAACGACGCAAAAGGTGAGAAGCACAGTGGTCTATTGAGGAGGGGGAAAGGAATGAGGGAAATGCGGAGAGCAACAGGAGGGAAAAGGCATCCTCGGAGCTGATGAATATTCTATTTTGAGGAAGCAAGAATTTGAAAGTCTGATGGCTTATTGTAATTACACATTGATGTGTGTTGTTCAGTGGAAGCCACATGTGCCTGGGTCTGTTATTAAAATCAGTTGTGCCTTCTTTTCAGCACTCAAGATGAGTGGCAATGTGGCAGACTCCACAGAAGCACGCAATGAACCCGACCAAGTGGAACCAGGTAAGAGACTATCCCAGGACGTGGGGTGCTCGAGGCGGGAGGCATGCATTGTTGGATGTTGTGTTCTGTGCTTTGCGTCCGACTCCTCAAACCAGCTTGTGTGTTGGTCAGGAATCCACACTGGGGTAAATCTGAGCTCACGCCCAGATGGGAATGAAAGATCTTTTCTTAATAGTTGTTAACCAGTTCAAAGCTCAGTAATGTTCATCCTGATTAAGCACTGAAATAGATCCAATGGGTGGTCAAATGGGTTAATAGTGTTAATATAGGCTTGAAGTACCCAACCTTGCACAGATAGCTCTTTATTGTATTTCAGGGCCTATTCAGGAGTCTTTACACAGACAAAACTCCCAGGGTCACATTCCTGCTTGGTGTATATGCCACTGGAATGAGTAAAGTTACAACAGGGATTACTCTGGCGTTCATTTTACTCCAGTGCTCCCTGAATATGGATTGCTGATGAACGGGGCCTTTAGCTTGATTTTTTTTTTTTTAATGCAAATTTAACAGAGATTTGCACCGAATCCTCCAGTCCCACTGGAGGAGAGTGTGCAATATACCGGATGTGTCACTTTCATATTTTACAATATTCAAGTAGGCTCCCATTGACTATAATGGGCTTTGACTTCAGGACAAAGATTCCAAAGAGCTCCGGGTCAGAGTTACAAGTGGTTGGCCCTCACAACTGGTGCCAGGTTTTCAAAAGGGCTCCGCTTCCACTTAGGCATCAAAATGTGCACCAAAATTTCAAAACGTTCTGAGAACCCGGCAGCACCCGTTGTGACATAGCCAGATATTCCAAAGATCTCGGTACGACATCACCTAGCCAATGTGCAGGGCTCTTTTGCAGCGGAAGTCAGTGAAGAATCTCTGTCTGCATTACCACAAAACAGAGTTTTAAATGCGAACAACAAAATAATTGCATTATAATAGGACGCAAACTAGTCCTTTATTCAGAAGTGGAAAAGTTCTATTGGGTTAGCCAGGAACACCTCCTTTAGTTAGTGCAAATTTCTATGTGGAAGGGCAGGGTTAGAATCCTCACTCCACTGAAGTCAATGTCAAAAGTCCCAATTCAGTGATGCTAGGATTTCACCCCAGATTTTCAAAAGAACGCAGGGCTAGGTTTTTAAGTGTTCCATGCTCACAATGTGGGCCAGATATTCAAAACAGCCCTGCATCCAATGCGCAGCCAATCTGGCCCATTGTTATGGTGTCTACATAGGTGTTGAACTCTTGTGAAATTCTGGCCCTATATTTCCTGGAAGATAGCAGCAATCTCTTTTTAATTGTTTCAAGCCCGGGGAACTTTAGCTCATTACATGAGTCAAGCTCTCTTTCTAGTATCAGTTCTTTACACAGTGGTTGGGCCTGATTTTGCTCTGTTGCACTTGGTTAATGGCAGAGTAATGTCTGCTGAAGTCAGTGGTGTTGAATTGATATGAAACTTGTATAGCTGAGATCAGAATTGAGCTCACCAGATATAATACGTTCATTTTAAATTAGCTTAGTAACTAGCTGTATTTAAACAGGAAAATAGTGATGAGTTGGAAGTGAAAGTGCACAGGTGAAGCACCTTTATTTAAAAAACATGAATGAATAATCGGAGCTGAGTGAATATTGCTTTAAGGGCCTTGAAGCCATGCAGAGAAATAAAAATCTGTAAAGATCTTGTATTCAGTGGTGGAGGAAATGCTTCTGTTTCGTCAGAAGCAACAAATTGGTTGTTAATTTTTTAGAGACTCTCTTAATGCAACCTCTGTAGCTGCCTGCTATGTTCAGGGTCTTCAGAAGTGAACAGACTAAGGGGAGACTGAGACAACATGTGAGCAGATACTGCAGTGAAATTCTAGCTTCTCAATGTTGCCCCCCAAGACCTTTGCCCCTGCTACAATAAGCCATCAAGCCTGGATCCTGTGAATTGCTAAGAGCTCTTGGCCCCCATTTCCCCCCAAAACCACAATAGAATATAAGGGTGCTCAGTGCGGGATCGGGCTTTCCAGCTAACTTTAGTGTGTCAGATCTCGCCGCTGATGCCAATGGATCTAAGCCAATTGAAGGGATCTGGCCTATATTTGATTCTTTAAAAACTGTTTTTAGCTCTTATTCTGTGAATTAATAAATAACCAGACACGTTTACTGAACTTCCTGAAAAGTTCATTTTATTTTCACTGATTCCCGCTGCCAGGGAAAGGGCTATTGCTATTCATAATAGTAACTTATTTTGCTTACGAGCTCCCCATGGAGAAGTCCCCTTTGAAAGGCTTGTTAATTCAGGGCTGGTTTTCTTCCATTTTTAAAAGATCTAATAAGTTGGAACAAACCAAACAGCCCCCCAGGTATCTTGTCTCCTCCCAGGAAGAGTTACCCAGCTACAAATATTGTAACTATAAAGAATGGAAAAGTACTAGAGCCAGATTTACAAACACCTAAAGATGCAGATAGGTGTCTATTGGGAATTGCATTTATTTTCATTGACTTTTAATGGGAGTTCTGCATCTGGGACTTTCTTAATTGCCAAAGCAGGTTAGGCACGTATCTGCCTCTTCAGGCACCCAAATATCTCGGTCGATCTGGCTCTAGATCTAAAAAACAAAGCTAAAGGCTCTGATGGGAACTGTCAACAAAAGCTTAACTCATGACTTTTCCCCGTGTTACCAGAACTTGCTGAAATATGATGACCTATTTTCACTGGGGGGGGAGTATTAACTTATGAATTTGTTTTCATTTCAAAGTGTTCCAAATGGACCCATTTTTTGATTTTCTTTTTCAAAATTTCCTAAATATTGTCTATTTCCCCCACCAAAGAAGTTAGTGAAATTTTTCCTTTACCAAAAGCCCCTCCAAAAACTAGTGCTAACTATTTAGCTATAAAACCCTTTGAATTTTTATTTTGTAAAAAGGCATGACGTTTTTGATGCAAGAGGAACCATTTTGACAATGTCGACAGTTTGGGATGAGAGAGTTTTTTGTTTTTAAAAAAGGCTTTTCCTGCCTTCTCCTCCACAACAGCAACAAAAAAACTTCTTCAAAAATTTCAACCTGCTCAGTGTTACCCCCAGCCACTCGGGTGCATCTTCAGCTCCCCTTAGTGCTAACAGGAGGTGAGAGTGCTTAGCACCTGACAGCAGTGGGTTTTTTATTGCAGTGTAGACCTACTCTCAGTGCACTAGCTCAACTAAAGGTAGTACGTGTATGTCTCCTTGAGCTGTAAATTATACCTCCAGCTGCAGTGTAGATGTACCCTCGGTGACTTACCTGAGCTCACTCAAGAAGTCTGTGATGGAGCCAAGAATTAAGCCTGGGTCTCCCAAGACCTAGGCTAGTGCCCTAACCACTGGACCATCCTGCCACGCTTACTACCAGGAGTAATTCCTCTGACTCCAATGGAGCGCCCTATGCTAACGAGGGCTGTGCTACATGGCCAACTCATCGGGGCTGGGACTGCCTCTTACTGTGTGTTTGTACAGTACTACGATGGAGTCCCTCCTTTGGGGCCTCTAATGGAATAAGTGTGCGCAGCATCGCCCGGCTGGGCTGGGGACTTCCCTTGTCTTTTTCTGTAAGGCACCGCTGTGGGGCTGTCGAAATACTAAATGAAATCATCATAATCCTGAAATGAGCGGGGGGGATAGATAGCTGCAAACGAAAATATGGGGGTTAGCGGAGGGGGCAGACCCCTCTGGTGTGCTGGATCTGTTGGTCTGGGCTGAGAGACAGTGTGTCTTTTCTCTGGGAGAAAGAAGGCAGCACGAGGGAGTGGAGCTTCTGCGTGCGTCTTTCTCTCTCATCTCCTCCTTTGCCTGCCTGCCCCTTGGTGCATCTTGAGCCCAGTTCGTACGGGGGAATTGACACAGGCCATGCCAGCAAATATTGGGTTGATTCCAAAGGGAGTGGAGGGGGCTCAGCACCAATCAGCATCGCCCCTCCTCTCCAAGCCAGCAAGCAGAGGGCTGCACCGTCCTGTGGTTGTCTAAACCACCAGTATACGGTGTAATGAAACGACTAGGTGAGCCTCTCCTTCCTTTGTCCGTGTCAGGCCTTTGCTGTGCACTATCTGCTCTGATCAGAACTGTGGGTCACACCAGGAAGAGCTGCTACTTTGATTTCACTGGAGCTCAGTCGGGATTGTGGGGTGGGGGAAGCCAAGGTTTAAACAAAAGTGCAACAGGGAAACACTTCAAACACAACTGTCAGCAACTGAATGGCTGCAGGCACTGGGAACATCTTCCATCCCCACCCCGCTCCACCTGGCAAGTGGGGAGCTGCACAGCCTCACCGGAGACCAGGGCGAGCACAACACGTGGGCATCCTAGGACAAGGAAGACAAAGCAGCAGAGCCCTCTGCAGCCCAGTTTTGCCTGTGCTGCCAGTGCTTCGGGTGCACCCCGCAGGGCCCTCCTGGACAGTCCATGGCTCACTGCATGGCTTTGTGCCGCTGTGCTGAAGCTGGGCTCCAGAAAAAAACAACAACAATTGTCCAGATTTGTGAAATGCAGAGGCCCCACCTTTGGGAGCAAGGTGGCACGGTTAGAAAACTGGACTGGGAGTGAGAGGTCCTGGCTTCTCTGGCTCACTCTGCTGATGACTTGACTTAGACCACACGCTGAGTTATTTAACCCGTGTGTCTTTGTTTTCCCCATGAAGCGCTTCCAAGAGCCCAAGCACAGATCTGGCCAATTGAGCACCCCAGCTTGCATCCAAGGCAAATGAATTACAGGTGCCCGACCTCTCTGATAATCAGCTCCTGAGGAGCCTGTTTCCCTTGATTTGGGAACCACTGTTCTCCCTTTTGAATCCTATCCTGGCCTCATATCAACCTCCTCCCACTGCCCAGTGCGGGTTACAGGTCCTCCTCTGTGCCCATCTGCAGAAGATGTGAGTTGTCACCGCCCCAGCTAGGGAGCTTCAGCTCAGGTGGTCTCCAGGCTGTTGGCCAAAAGGGTGGCTATCACCCAAACTTTACTGGCAGGAGACTCCAGAGACTGGAGGCAGTTCCT